GTTTAGCGCACGTTAAACTCTACATGCAAAAAACAAAACAAAACAAGACAACGCTGAAATACTCGGCCCCCTGAGAAAAAACAGATTTATTAACAAGAGGTAATCAGGAAAGAATACACTTTTATACAAAACTGGAAATACGAGTCAAGCTGAAAGAAAGGTCATTCTCACGTCAAAGGGCATCGCTCGCTGCAACGTGCCTGTCGGAGGATTAAAGATCCAGGTGCGAGGGTTTAAATACAGCAACACAAACTGTTCTATAGAGATCCAACCTGAACACGTCAAACTGGAGCATGCCTGCCACTTAAGCCAGTAGGTGTTTTTTTTCTATACAAAGCCTGTAAAAAATACATAGAAATATTTCAGTTAGAAGCACATTAATACCACTGTATAGCTCCAGGTGATAGGCAGGGTAAAGGATGTGTTACACTTATGAGTTGGTTTGAAACGTTTCACACACAGCAGTTATTACAGCTGAACCGTCGTAAGGATAACACATTCCAAGGGATATATGTCTTTTAACACATTGCATGTGAGGAAATGCATCAGGCCGACTGCACACAGACACGTTTCTGCTGCGCTGGCAAGTCCTGGAGAAAAATAGTTCACAGACTTCGGTGGTATGTGATCCGTTTCGCCATTAAGGCAAAAACCCATAATGCACTGGCTAAAGAGGATTAACCCTAAAGACTGAACTCTCCTGTCGGTGTGGAATTTAACTTCCTGAAGTGGCTCAAAACTGGTTACATTTTGCTACATACATTGCCTGGTGCTTATAATTTATATACATCATGGTGCCCACCAGGGGAATAAATGTGGAGCTAAACTGCGGCCATAAAGTTTGTTCCAAATTTTTTTGTGTGAAACTAAAACAAACGTTAAAACTGAAAACAAAAGATTTCAAACTGAAAATAATTTTGAGACTAAAAATAAATGCTGAAACCTAAAAAAAAGATTTGAAACTGAAAACAAAGCATTGAAACTGAAAAACAAATTTGAAATCAGAGAAATAAGATTAAAAACTAGAAAAAAATATATTTTTTAATATATGATACAACGGCCTGCCATACTAGTTTAATTATAATAACCTATAATATTTTAAAACGATACGACAGAACAGCCTGCCATATTTTTGATTATTTAATACATTTGTCATTTATCACTTTTTTATATGATACAATGACCTGCTATATTTTTAAGTTATATGATATAATGGCCTGCCATGACATACTGGCTGGCATATATTTATTATGTGCTACAAAGGCCTGCCATACTACCTGACACATTTTCAAATTATACGAAACAGCTTACCTACTATACCTTGTTAATTATACGAGACAATGGCATGCCATACATAGTTATTTATATGATACAACAGCATGCCTTACTTATTAAATTATATGATAAAAGTGTTTTTTTTTATCAGTTTCAAATCTTGTTTTTTCAGTTCCAATTTTTTTAGTTAAAAAAATTAACAAAATCTATGGCTCCAATGTAGCTCCACAAATAAAGCATTAAAAAAGTGCTGAACAGAAACACAATAGTTTTGCTGGCATCTGACAAACAAAAAATAAATAAATAAATAAAAATAAAAAAGGAAATTCGGTTGTTAAAGCTGCAGCAGCCTAACGTTCAGCTTTTGGTTGTAAAATGTGGAGTTACGCTGAACGAATGTTAAAAATCTACTCATCAAATTCAACTAAATGTGTTTACAGCAAACTAAAACTCAAATTTAATTTTTCATACTTTGTGTTATTTGCTCCTTAAGGCAAAAGTACAGATCTTCAGAAGTGGGGTTTTATGGAAAGGTTATAAACAGTTAATATCTGTTGTAGATAGATTTTTTTAAAACAACTCTTTATATCTATGCATGATGTACTCTACAGGGAGAGGACAGAGGGAGACGATGATTTATCTTCCGTGACACAATATTAGCAGAAGCTAATTGGTCGCTAACAGTTTAGCAAAGTTAGTGACAAAAATAATCCCGTAAACGAAAAATATGTTACGCTATTAGTTGTTTAAAATCATGCCCAGCATTACATTAGCAAAAACTCTCCTACCTTTATGTATAATTTGTGGGGTTAAACTTGTATTTATACACACATAAATACTTTTAAGATCATATCTAATCTCATATTTTTCTATAGCAGTTCAAGGAGAATTTATTTTATAACCTTTACATTGTGTTCTGCTTGTTATTGTTTTAAATACGCAGACACTTGCATCTGTAGCTCTTCCAGCAGAAACATCATAACGTCTCTGCAGGAGCAGCCATGTTTGATGAAACTAAATGCCACATACAGGGTTATAAAGAGGTATTCAAGTGAACCGCTGTGATTTAATTTTAGATCAGAGTTTTAAGATGGCAGCGATACATTTTTCCATCTGTTAGTCTCACCAATCAGGTCAGAGATAAACTATATACCTCCAAATTAAAGTTATTTAAAACTCTGACTACGGCAGGTAAGATATTAATCATTCGTAACTTCTCCACAGAACCCCACTTCAAAGGACCTGAAAGATCCCAGGTCCTGCGTCGTCCCTCATGAATGTGAGCTTTTTAATACTGCACATTTTCATTTAGACATAACTGAATACCCACTCTATCTTTACTGTGTTGTAGCTTAAAATAAATAAATAAATAAATAAATAAATAAATAAATAAATAAATAGCATTTTAGACAATAAAGAACACATAAATAATCTATATCCATAGAAATAAAACCTCTCTGGTCTTCTACTCAGTTTATAATAACAAATATACACAAAGAGTCCGTCGGAGAGCAAATACTAGAAGGGCATAGTCTACTGTGTCTAATACAAATAATGTACATGTAGAGATCTTGTTTCTGGGTGCTCCACACAGAAACCCTCTTCATGATGACGTTTTGGGCTCGATCCTCAGAGAGGCTTCGTACAGGCTCTCCTCATCCATCACGGTGCTGAGGTCCAGCAGGTACTTCGCCGCCTGTGAGAACCAGAGAACAGTGATGAAAACTTCCTTTTATTAAATTTATAAGAGTGTTACAAAAGGTTCGAGTCATTTAAAGCAGCCAGACTTTCTTACAGGCTTTTAAAGAGATCCTAACCAAAAGTTCTTCAGGATTTTTGACATTTTTCTTCAGATTTTGGTTGTTTTTTCCCACTCATTTTAGTTTAGAACTTGATTCTTTACTTTCTACTTGTTTGATAAAACTCTAACCTCATAAAAACGCTAATTAATACACGATTAAAACATGCAACAGATCTGAAACCTTAAATGTAATTTAAGTATTACATTTTACCATATCAGCTCTTTAGATTCAGATCAGTTTGCTTTTTTTTTTTACAATTGAAGTCACAGAAAATGTAAAACAAAATAAACTTTAGAAAGAAAAACATGGAAAATCTGACCTTTGGCTGAAAATCTATCTTGTAGGCTGTTTGCTGAAACTGTCGGATCTCTCTGATAATATGAGATTTCTGGAGGAAATTAAAGAAGATGATGGTGATTAACTACCATGACAAATAAGAAATTAAAGTTATGTACAGAGTATACAGTAAATGATGCTACAGACTGTTTTTTTAATTGTAATTTTACCATTCTCATCTTAGAGAAATTGACCAGGTTGTCCTCGGTGTAGTTAGGTGTTCCCTCCTCGATAAAGGCTAAGTCCGTCAGGTACATCCCCAGGTAGGGCACACAGGGAGGGTCACAGCTGATAAAGAGGTGACACAGGTTATTTTTTAACTAAATTAGAAATATAGCAAAAATTAAAAAGTCTAATTTATTTTATTTTCAATGTGGACATATTCTTTAAAATCCTTCTTCACATGTAAATCATTCACTTCGGGTCTATATACAACAGTAGTTGGTAAGTCCAGATGTTATTTAGAAGTTCTGTTGCAAACATTGTGACATACACACACACATCTATATATATATATATATATATATATATATATATATCTCAGGATCTTACTGTGAACAAAATTACTTTAATATTTCAAGTCATACAGAATAGGGTTTGAGTGCAGACATTAAAGTGCCCGTGACATCAATATTTTTGTAACACTACCAATGCATTTTTGGAAAGATAACACTGAGAACATATTACAAAATAGATGTCATGCTGCTGGGATGAACAGTTGTTGAGATATTTGCGTGTGAAGTAACAGGAAGTGATGTTAAAGGGGAATGTCTGCATGAAAACAGAGCTAAGCTAAAATGCTCAACAGCCCAGACTGTGGAGAGGAATCGGACGTTTTAGATTATTTTGAGTCGCTATCGGACAGAAACAAAAAAACGAGTCAGAGTTCAAATCATAATGTTTCAATAAACAAAGACCAGTGAGTTCTTTTTTTAAAGGAGTTCCCCTTTGATGCCACTTCCTGTTTCCCTTTTGCCGAGCCAAGTTAGAAAGAAAACAGGACAGTTATGTGTCCGAATGGGTAAAATAATGTGTAGTGTGCCAAGTTTCTTAAACAGAACAAAGTTTTTTTTTAACATTTTGTATCTGATGAATAAGCATGTCACTTTAAGCAGTCATTTTCAGCCACTATAAACTCTTCTTTGGCGACTTCTGTCTCGTCTGGTACTGCTACGTATTAAAACAACTGTATATTTTATACTGGATTTGGATAGCTGAAGCAAACGGTTGGTTTCTTTTTGTGATGTTGTTTTGAAACGGAGAAGCCAAAGAACGGACTGTACACAGATTCATAAAGTACACGGACCAAATACACCGAGTACTTTAACAGGAAGTGAAAAAACAGGCTGACTCACTTCTTCAGAGCCTCTCTCAGGTTTTTGAATCGTCCCTCTGATGACACCAGCTTCTGTAGCTTATCAATCACCGTCTTTGTCTAGAAACGGGATCAGGAAGTGAAATACTTGGACACCAGCAGATCTGTTTAGGATGTTAGTTGTTTCTTACAGAGGGGACCTCTGATACCTGCTTGGAAACTTTGAGCCAGGTCCTCTTGAGGCGGAAGATGGAGCTGCGGTTGAGCGAGGACGTGATCTCCAGCACGGCGTTGTAGTTGTGGAGGCAGCGACAGATGTCCGCCACCGCCACCCACTTCTCCACCACCGCCACCCGCGTGTTCACGTCGTCCCAGTGGAGGATCTCCGAGGCGATCCTGTTACTGATCTAACACGAGGACAAAACAGAAACAAGCTATTGAAACTCATCGGCTGCTCCGCTCACCTGCGTCCTCAGGAAACACCCACATCGTTGAAATGTTTGGTGGTTTTCATGATGTACGGAGTTCGCTCGTTCTTGTCGTTCTTCATCCAACCTTGACCAAAAAACTCCCTGCAGAAAAATAAAAACATCTCTGTAATAAAACATTTCAATCACCCGGTGTGATAAACATTAACGCTCTCTGGACCTCCGTGACTCACTCGTATGGGATGACTTTGAAGACCAGGTGGTCCAGCATTGTGAGCTGCTCAGCAATCTCCAAAGCTGAGTGGTTCTCAAACGGTTCAGTCTTACTTTCTTCCATTGCCTGAACACAAAAATACATTCAATCAATGCGAGACAAAAACTGCTGGTATAAAACAGAGTCACGTTTTTGTGTTCCCTCCTCACCATCTGTGTGATGCTTTCTATGGTGGCCTGGTTGTCTCCTGGATCCTCCTGGGTCAGAGTCCTGAACACCAGAAGACAGAAACGCTTTATTTTAACAGCTCTGATTCATGCTTTAATTTATCCATTTAGGTTTTTGGAGGTTAGATTCACAGAATAAGAATGTTTATTATAAATGTAGGAACAGGCCTGGACTTTTCTTTACAGTTTGTGTTTTTGTTGTTATGGTTTTTAAAATGTGCACGTTTAATGTTTTAGTATTTCTACTCAATTTTTGTTTACTGTTAGTTTCCTTAATGGTTTGGTATAATTTTAGTTATTCTGTACTGTGTTATTCTTGGATTATCATGACCAGTAGTGATCAGGACACCTGTGGTCAGTGACATCCCTGGAAATAAACTGCTCATCTTTGTTAGATCATCTGTTGAACTCCATGTTTCTTGTTTTTGGTGTCTTTAGTTAAATTAATAAAATCCTTGTTTGTTTCTGAGAAAGCTCTTTATATGTTGGGACCTGCAACAACATTTAAAAGTAAGCCCTGCCTTCAGGACGAAGATAAATTGCTTTCTAAGATTTCCTTCCCAGCATCCAGACATGTATTTTTTTATCACTATGCACCAGTGGGCAAAGCTAACCAAAATGTTAGCTTCACTAACTCATAATCCTTGAACTAGAAATATAGTTTTAACATTAAATGGCTAAACATGTAAAAAAAAAAAAATTAGAAGATCCTAACACTAAACAGCTAAACAAGTAAAAATGAGCAGAAGCTAACATTAAATGCTACACAAGTAAAACTTAGTAGAAGCTAACACTAACATCTACACAAGTAAACAATTAGCGGAAGCTAACACTAACAAGTAAAATTAGCATAAGCTAATGAGCTAAACAAGTAAAACTTAGCAGAAGCTAACACTAACAGCTACACAAGTAAAAAATTAGCGGAAGCTAACAGTAATAAGTAAAAATTAGCATAAGTTAACGAGCTGAACAAGTAAAACTTAGCAGAAGCTAACACTAACAACTACACAAGTAAAAAATTAGCAGAAGCTAACACTAACAACTACACAAGTAAAAAATTAGCAGAAGCTAACACTAACAACTACACAAGTAAAAAAT